ATGCACGACGTTTACATCATAATACATATGATAGATTTGGTAAACAATGGACAAAAAATGATGTTGTTGGTTGTATGATTGATTTACATGATAAAACAATAAGTTTTTCATTAAATGGTGAATTAATGTTAGATAATTATGGTAATGAAACAGCTTTTGATGGACTTAATATTGATAATATTGGTTTTGTACCAGCATTAACATCATTTAGTGGACAAAAAGCTCGATTAAATTTTGGACAAGATGTTCATTCATTAAAATATTTTACATCTTGTGGTTTACAAGAAGGATATGAACCGTTTTGTGTGTAAGTTTCACAACGAAAACTTTTATAGATACGTTAAAAACTCAAAAAAAAAATGATCGGATTCTTTTTTTATTGATTTTAAAATTTTTAGAAATATGTCAAAAAATGCAACATTTTGGTATTCAAATTTTGTTCCTCGTTTTATACCAATAAAACAAGATTCACCATCTTTTGAAGTCATTCGAATCGGTGCAAGGTATATAATACAATACTTAACTCTCACATTTAGATCTCATCTATCATATATAACTCGAAATGTAGATATTTGGTGCATATACTTTGCAAAGAATATTGATCAGAATTACTTAAATACAAAGAGTTTTATGACGGACAGCATCTGCTTTTGCTTTGAACTAGGTGTGCACCAATGCCAGTAACTGGGTACTTGGTCGTTTGATGTTTATTAAAATGAATCCGCCTTTTTCCATTTTTCATTTCAGTATCGATCTTATAGGAAATACTTTTCTAAAACTAGCTGTTATAGAAATCCATTATCTAGAAGGATTATCTATAGCAAAGAAAATAATTCAACAGATGATAATAAACGAAAACTATGCCTGAATAGATAGCTCGCAAAAATTTAATGAAGACATATGAAATTTATTTATAGTATTCTAAATTATAACGATTGGTACATAGAAATATATGATTAGCCAATGGAGTCAATGTTATAGTTTGTATCAGTACTTCAACAGCCTAAGAATCACTGTATGACAATATACTAGAAAAGAAGAAAGTACTACTCGAATAATGGACTAAAGATCAAATGACTGAGTACCCAACCGGACTGGGACTGGCGCATCCCTACTTTGAACATATTCTTTTTATCTGAAAAAGATGTATACTAAATTTTGCATTGATTTTTTGAGTGAGTCTGTGATTAAGACTTGATATATGCTTCAAGTCAATTATTACAGTTTATACTTCAATGAAATCAATAAGGTGGATTACTGAAATATAGCATTACATAATAAGAAATTCATTGTTCCTCCAAGTTCTTTGTTGTTTCGGTTATGAAGTTCTAAAGTAATTCTGTTTTTGTACTGAAACAATCTAAGCAAATTCATGTGTTTAACCTACATTCTTGAAAACGTATATACACATAAATCTTTAAACTTGTAGGTGAGATTGAGCATTGCAGAGACTTTAATTCATCATTATATTTCTCTTTTTTTTTCCTAAATTACTCAATTTATTTTATTTTCAAACATAGTCGTGATAATCCACCAATAATAAAACTTCAATCTCGATTATTTGGTACATTAGAAAAAGTTGAATTTGAATTTATTCGATTATCACTTCCTATATCATGTCATGATAAATTTGTACCAAGGTAATTCTTGATTTTTTTTTTTTAAATTTTTACTTTTCTTTTTTTTCTTTAAAACTCACAGACACATAACACTTGAACAACGTTATGCAATCTTAAATGAATATCTTGAATCTCCTGCTGAAAAACATAATTTTATATTTCTATCAAGACCTAAGATGTCATCATCGAATGAACAAATTGAAACTTCAATAACAAATCAATCTCTATTAGATCCAACAGATTCATTTGTTAAATTTCTTGATCAATCAACATCAAAAACAAATTCATCACCAATAATTAATGAAAATAAATCAAATATAAAAACATCAACAAATAAAATTAATAGTTTTTTTCATTGTTTTTTAAAAGAACAACAACAACAACAACACCAACAACACCAACAAGAACAACCTACAAAACGTATAGTTAAATTAAATACAGATACAAATAGAATACAAAATCAATTACAAGCTACATTAAGACATTCAATAAGACGAATGACACATACTGCAAGAAAATCTACTATTGAAAATGAAAATGAATTTAATGATCAACAAACAAATGATTATGCAAATGATGATATACGTGTCATTAATGAATATGTTCATGAATATTATTATGCTATTAGAATTTTACCTGGTCAAAATCCACGTTCAGTATTTATTGGCTGGGTAACATCAAGATTTAAACCTATAGATCGACAATATGATACAACAATAAATAAATTAACTAAATTTACTCGATATTGTACAATAACACAAACCAATGATAAGGGTTCAATTGTTGAAAGTATTCGACGACAAGATGCATATATGTTTTGTGCAAGTGATTTATTAGATAATATGATTGATAAAGGAAATGTTGCTAGACGTGTTGCTAATGGATTAGTAATTGGATGTTTATGTGATGTATCAACTGGACAATTAACATTTTATGTTAATGGAAAAGAATCAACACAAAAATTTCAAGTATATTATTATTTTGAATTGATTGTTAAAGATATTATTACAATTGTTTAATAGATCTTTTATGAGAAATTAATTTAGAGTTTAATTCTATCGAAATCTATTTCTATTAATATATAAACTCATTATTTACAACATAGTTATAGTTATTTCTTTACAGATAAAGAAATATGTGTAGTTTCTTGCTGAGAAATGGTAGAAATTTACAAGCAAGAATTTGGTGATGGACTTTGCCCGGCTACAGTCGTTTCTGACTGCAGCTACATAAGTCTGGCCACCAAATTCATGTTTCCTAAGTTTCTTCCGTTTTGTTGAGTTTTCTGACCGCAAACGGCCTCTGGGAAAATTCCAACAAGGAATTTAAGAATAGGATGTAAGAGGAGAGCGAATATTTTTATGCAATTCAGATAAAAGACAGTTAGTGTTGCTTATATCTAATTGATAATTTTCACTGTGTAAAACTAGTACGATTAGCTTTTTAATGAAAGACAAAATAATAGTGAAGCAATAATGTTCATGGAAAAAAAGGGGAATTAGACACTGTGAATTTGTTGACAATGTTTCTTAGGGATTTTAAGTTTAGCCATTGAAGACGAAGAAAAATTTCGGCAGCTTTTAGTTTGTTTATATATTTAATAGTACGAAATTCAATGTTTTCTAAGACTACTTTACTACGAAAATATTACTATTTGCGGTCGAAGACAGTAAAATTTTGACATTTGCATAAATCTATCAATCTGATGGAATGAGAAATAAATGTTTGAGTGTACTGAAGCTTCGTAGCTTCACCGCCTATAAGTTCTAATGAACTTTCAATATCCTGAAAAGAGTTCGTATCTCTAATTTATTTCTACCGAGATATATGTACAATTTCATTCGTTAACTACATGGTTTTTCAAAATAAAAATATGCATATCTATGAATTCTAGCTGTATGGATCTCTATTTCTCTGATTCATTATTAAAAAACTGACCTTAGCGGTGTGATACAAAAAGAAGGACAAATATTTTCATTTACCAATACCGCATGTTCAAATAGTATTTTCGAAAACTAAATCGTACGTTTTGCATAGAACTCTTCAAGCTACAAAACTTCTATGTAAAATTGAGTTTATTCGCTGTTAGCAATGAGATCATTTTCCGTAGATCTTGAGATGATAGTGAAAACAACAAAATCAGACTTTGGGGAAAGCTGGTTTTTTTTTTGAGAGGACAATTTTTCCAAGTTCAATCTTACTGAAAACTTCATCATAAAAATAGTTTGTGGCATGAAGTCTATTCAAAAATTCTTGAACTTGTCCGTCATAAGTTCGAGAGTTATTCTTTAATAATATTTTAATTAATTATCTGGAAAAGAACTTGCATAAAAAAAACGAATCAAAGTAAAATCGCAGATGATGATGCGCCATTTTTGTGTTCATATGATTATTATGACCTTCATTTGAAAGCAAAAGATTGGTTCTACTCATGTATTTTCCTTTACCTATAATTAAAATACAATTTGAAAATATTGAATTTATCGAGCGATAGAATTCAAATGCCCTACAGATCTTTCTTTTTGATTTTTATTAATACTTGATTTCAATTTAGGTTGAACCAAGTACTAAACTTTATCCAGCTGTATTTGTTGAACCAACAGTTAAAGAAGTCTTACAATTTGAATTAGGACGTATTAGAGTAAGAACAAATAAATAAAAATATATCTAAAATAATTGAATCTTTTTTTGTTTTCATAGAATTGTTTACCATTAACTGCTGCTTTATTTCCAAGTTTAAATCGTGAAGAACGTTTTATTCCTCAATTACCACCTCGTTTACATTTACAATCACTTGTTCATTGTCATTGGTCACGTGTACCAAATACAAATATTCGTTGTCAACAATTAAAATTATCTGAGATTCGTGGATGGAGTGTATTTGTTGAAGATCCTGGTAGATAAATTTCTTTTTTTTTTTTAAATTATAATTATCTTTTCTTTTGTATAGTTCAAATGGAAGCAGTTTATATTCCTGAAGAAGATCAATGTACAGATATTTTAAGTTTAGTTGAACATGAAGATAATTTAAAGTATTTTTAAATTAAATTGTTCTTTTTTTTTTGTTTGTTTGGTATTTTATTTTCTATTAAATTCATATTTAGTTTTTGTTCGAATACATTAAGATTATATAATGCATTATGTGCTCAAGGTAATAATCGTGTATCACATGAAATATGTAAATTTGTTGATGAAAAACAATTAATGTATTGTGTAAAAAATGCTTGTAAGTGAATTGAACTATTTTGTTGTTTCTTGATTTTTTTTGTTTTAATTTAGATTTATGTGGATCTATTAGAATTGGTATTCATAATTTACTTATTGCTTTACATTTTGAATCACATATTAAAGCAAGGTAATAGAATTTGATATTTAATTTTGTTTTTTTTTTTTGTAAAGATTTTTATGTTGTAGAAGTTTAACTTCAACAGAATTTATTATTCCATTATCAGATGCACTTCGAAAAAGTGCTATATTACATCCACAAAATTCAAATGGACAACAACAAATTTTGGCTATGTCAACATATATACCAGCTATGGAACAATTTTTAGCTGTACGACCTAAATTAATCAAAGAAGAAGAGTATGTTAATATTAATTAATCCTCTTCTTGATTGTCGATGTTCGTATCTAATAAGGGAATTACGTGAACTGTAATCTGCTGTTTGAGATCATATTGGATTCATAAGAAGGCGTTGGTGGAAATGGAAAAAGCTTAAAAGGATTTATTTCCATAGACTATTTGAGTCCAGTTATGGCCATTGAACTGAAATTTTGCTCATAGATAGGTGTAGTGATCCTTAGAATATCCTGAAAGTTTCAGTGGAAAACAACATTCCCTTGTCGAGATATTGAAACTTTCATTACATCAATTCCAGCGCAAAACTCCATTATCTGATTTTCCACTATATGCCTAAAAATAGGTCGAAATTTCAGTGTAACGGCTATAACTCAGCTACAAAAGCCAATGAGAACGAACACTTAAACATTTTTTCTAACCTACGGAGATTTCCGTGTGGGCTCTATATGAGCTCAAACGACGGGTTTACTCTCGCAAGCTCAATATGAACAATATTTTTCTTTGATGTATCAGCTTTTTTCAGTGCGTTTTGGAAAAAAGACTTATTTGTTTCCATGGCTACAGGACTTAACTAACGCAATATTCATCTTTATAAGGCCTTGGATCATATGAAATGATCTACTTGATTTTTCACAAAAAAGAATTTTGTTCATGAGAATAGAAGTACATGAGACTTTATGACAACTTTGTATTAACAATGCACATTAATGATCTGAATGACAAGAAATGTCTAGAGAATAATTTATAGATCTTGGAAAATAATTCAAATTCTAATTTTCATTCAATAGGAAGAAAAAAAATCTGTTAATGATAAATAAATGTTCGATTATTTCAAAATTATTTTCTTTAATTAAACCAGTTTGAATCTAAAAAGCTTGATATTTTTAACATTACTTAAGAACCTTTTCTTTGAATATTAATTCGTTAAATTTTATAACGAAACAAAAAGAGAACCCTTTGAATTTTCTATAAAGATAAATTTCGTTGTCATCAATCCATACGTACTCTTGCAGAAAACTATACTAGATGAAGAATTTATGATTTCTTAAATCTCTATTTAGGAAGCTGCGAGTCTGTGGTTTTTGTGGAATCGTAACTTCCTATCAAGATTGATTTAAAACAATAATGAAAAGCTGTAGAGATACGTTATTCATATCGAATTCGTGTATTTAAATTTCATGTTTTTTTGAGTCTTACAATCTCAGATTAATAATTCCAACGGCTGGCTCGGTTCATGATTATGGCCGTTTACCGTCGACAACAGGAAAATCCGACCATCATATTTCTGTTTCCATCTTTCCAAATCTTACGAGTGGAGTCGACTGTACATCCTTTACTTGAGATTGTTCGATATTTCATTAATAAAAACTATTCTAAGCCTTACATATTCATGAACAGGGGATCAATCGTTTTTGCTTCCGATCTTAACATCATCGGAATCATCTTGTCCATATATAATATTACTAAATAATAAAAAGAAAACTTAGTAATATACATTGTCGTATAATATTGTTTATTATTTAGTTTTAAAGTTGATCGTGAACGAAAATTACTTGTTCCACCACCATTTAATGTTTCAAGTCTTAAAGAATATATTATGAATTCTTTAACCGATGCTATTGAAAAAAGTTCTCATCATCTTCGAGATCCAACCGGTGGAACATATGCAAATTGGCTTGTGTAAATAATATCTAAATTGATATTTTGTTTTTTGAAAAAAAATTTTTTTTTTTTTCATTTTTTCAGACCATTACTTCAATTAGTCGATGCTTTTCTTGTTATGGGAACACTTGGTATCAAAACAAATAAATATTCTTAATTCAAATATTTTATTTTATTTTATTTTATAGAATTAAATGATATTCAACAATTATTACGTTTAATTGATCCAACATCATTTGGATTAGAAAATGAAGAACATTTTAATGAAGGTTTACTTCAAATGACATTAGATGAACCAGTTAAACTTCAATTATGTTATATTTTACAACATTTATGTAATTATCAATTACAATATCGTATTGAAAGTCTTATTGCATTTTCTGAAGATTTTGTTAGAAGATTACAAGCAGTAAGTTTAATATTTATTTAATTTTATGATAAAACAAAAAAAAAAAAACTTGATATTTAATTCTAGGATCAAAAACGACGATATCAAGTTTTAAAAGAATCAAGTTTACCACCAGCATTAATGGCAAAAAAAACTCGAGAATTTCGTTGTCCACCAAAAGATCAAGTAGATCAAAGAAATTTTGAATTAGGAAAAAAAATTGATTTTTTTTTTTGTTCCTTTTTAGATGCAAGCATTATTAAATTTTAAAAATGATTTAAATGATACAATTGTTTTTCATGAAGATATACAAGAAGAAATAAAAGATATGTTAAAAAATTTTCATTCAAATTTACTTGTTTTACAACAAGTTGTTGAGGTTTGAAGAAAAAAAAAAATTGCTTATTTCATTTTGTGAAACATAATTTAAACAGAATGTTGAAGTGTAGGAAATGAAAATTTCAACTTTCCACAAACAGAACCGAACTCAAATCAGTAAAACTCGGTTCGATTCGATTCACGTGACAGACGCTAATCAGAGATCGTCACAGATTTTGTTGATATATGATTACGGATCCTATTTGAATCACATATGAACTATTTTCTTGTTGCATTTGTGAAGGATTAAGTAGAAGGATCTCAAATAGATGTGCTATCTGTTTCAAAATGTAATGTACTCCAGTGGTTTTTGAATAAGTTTTGATAGGAACATTATAGAGACTTACCCCATGTCGCTTCTTTTTTATTAAAACCGTCGGTTAACCGCGGTTTGTGAAAAAACCGCCGGTTCGACCGGTTCATTTGTTTTTCATCAGTTTTCGACCGATTTTTTGA